GCAGGGATGGGGCTGTGTTCGCGGCACCTCAGCGCCGAGGCTGTCGTTTTCCTGGGCTTCGGCCCGCCGGTGCGGTGGGGCTGAGCTGATAGCAGTCCTGCAGCCTGGAACGGGAGGCTCCCCTTCTGCCGGGTTCTGAAAGATCCGTGCCTTTCCCTTTCCTTCGCTGGCTGATGGACTAACGGCCAGCTTTGTGAGAAACCAGGGTTATGCCACAGTCTTCATACAGATGTCGTGATGAAGGTTGCGTAAAGTCACGTCGCTTAAAAATTTGAAGTACAGGTTATTGTTGGGATGCTTCCTGGGTCCGGGGTCTACTCGGAATTTTCCCTTTATAAATGCATAATGTTTTTGTTGTAAAAGGCATGTGTTCTTTCTATTTTCTCACACATTTAGCTGTTTGTTTGGCATGCAGTATGATTTGTTTGCTTTTTTTTTCTTTTTTGTCTTTGAAATTTGTAGGATTATAATCCAGATACCTTTCTTCATACTCTTGGGAGGAATACTTTGCAGGTCCCTTCGGAACAGAGAAGATGTACATCAAGTCAATTGTTCTTGAAGGATTTAAATCCTATGCTCAGAGGACGGAAGTCCGTGGCTTTGACCCATTGTTCAATGCCATTACTGGCTTGAATGGTAGTGGCAAGTCCAATATCTTGGATTCAGTCTGTTTCCTGTTGGGAATCACCAATCTGTCTCAGGTAAAGAGAGAGGATGCATTTAAGAAAAGTTTTTCTTCTGTCAGCAACGTTTCATATTACTCTCTTGAGTAATCTCTGATGGAAGACCTGAAGTGGTGCTTCTATCAAAAAAATAGTTTTATTTATTTGGATTTTTCATTACATAAAACTGGTTCTCTGTTGTTCTTGCTCATATTTACATTAAGATTGAATTACAATTTCATCAATATACTACAGTAGCTCAAAGTATGCAGCTTAGAACATTAGGCTAAAAATACCCACTTAAAAGGTAGCTGCTTCAAGACAAAGATCTTTTTCAGCTAAAGGCACTAACTTGTTTATTTGTAATAAACTTTTTCACTTCTGGATTGGGTCTTAAAATTTGGCCAACTGGTTCATCAGAAGAAAATAAAAAGCTGTTTTTCATGCAATGCCTGCTATTTAAAAGATGGTATATCTGCTTTACTCTTATAAAAAAAAATTGTGTGCACTGAGATCAATTAGAATCTCTGGCTTCAGGTGATTTTTTTATTCCCCTCCTTGTAATTATAGACAAATCCAGCAGATCTCCAAGGAACACTTTCTAATTCATTTCCCTCTGAACTGCATTATGAATAACAAATGCTCTTTAAGTAAACGTACTGGTGACTGAACTAGTCGTCTGGCTTTTTTTTTTTTTTAAACATCTATTTAGTTTTTGCCAGGAGTCTCGTGCAGAAACAATTAGCTGGCTCACTAAAACTAGACTGGCACACTCTGCCTGTGGTTTTACAACACTAGCACCTTGCAGCTCCCATATGTCAGTCTCACATGAACTCTTAAATCCACAGCTAGATCTGCATTTTTTTCATTCATTTCTCCAAAACCTACAGTAGCACATTTAAGCTGTGTAATGAATTTCTTTCAGAAATGCATTTATCTTTTCCATGGATTTAGGTGCGAGCTTCCAACTTGCAAGACCTAGTTTATAAAAATGGGCAAGCTGGAATTAATAGAGCAACTGTGTCTATTACCTTTGATAATTCTGACAAGAAGCTAAGTCCACTGGGATTTGAAGCTAATGATGAGATCACCATCACTAGGCAGGTGAGTCTTTAATATCTGTATTGCTTAGTTACCTATACACATTTTTACCATGCTCAACAGAGTGACTTTTCAAGAAAAAAAAAAAAGGTTATTTTTAAAGTCCCTGAGTTTTTGCAGTTGAGGCAGTACTTCTACAGTGTAGTTAGTAACACAAACTGTAGAAGTAAATCCAGTGTACTAGACAAAAAAAATTGGAATTACTTGGGAAATTAGTTTAATATTGTTAAATGTATTATATCAATAATGTTTTCTATGGACTTGTACAGAAACGTAATAGTAATGGAATAATGTTCCTAAAGCAAGTTATAGCTTTCTATTTTGTGACTTTTTTTTCTCCTTTCATATTTTCCTCTTAATATCTGAACTTTGTGTTAAATTTGGTCTCCAAGAACAAAGAAACCTTTATCTTTCTGATGAAGATGTCTCCCAAGTTTAAAAAAAAAAAAAGTGAAAATTTGTGGTTTGGAAATTTTCTTGTCAATATTGCCCTCAGTGACTGATCTTTCTTATATTTTAGTTAGATATTTCAAATGTCTTCAGTCCAACAAGATCTGTTTTGATGTTCTGTATAGTATGCATATATATGTGTATATGCAAAGATTAAATATATGGGATTTGCTCAGATTTTTTATTCATTATTACAGTTTATATTCTCATAATGTCAAATCATTTTTAAATCACTTGGAATTTCTTCCATTTCTTTTCCTTCTCCAGGTTGTCATTGGAGGCAGAAATAAGTATCTTATCAATGGTGTGAATGCTACCAACACTCGCGTGCAGGATCTCTTCTGTTCCGTTGGACTCAATGTCAATAACCCTCACTTCCTCATTATGCAGGTATTGTGTGCATCTTTATAAAATCCAAAAAGAATAGAAGTTGCACTAAATTTGAGGCAGGTTGGATAGTGGAAGAACATTTAATTTCCTAATCAGAGAAAAGCAACTTCTTGTCAAGTAAAAATCAAATGTCTGTTAAGTAGTTAAGATCTCCAGTACAGCATAGTTTGACCCTAAAACACGTGTCTTACAGCACAAGACCTCATGTAGCCCTCACGTAGCAAGCTTTTTCTAAAACATATTCCAATTTTCCTTTTTGTCTCTTTAACAGATAGGTGTTGCTTTTATTATTATGCTAAAAAGACAGAGATTTTCTTTCCTATTATGTGTGTTCTATGTTAGTATTTTGAATGAAGTTGATAAACCTGCCGCCTTAAATCACAATTAACAAAGGAAGAGCTGACCAATTGAAAGGACCCTTATAAACATCAACACAGGGACTAGACAAATCCCTGACATGTTTGCAAGGAATAATAAAACAGAGCAGGATTTACTGTTTCAAATGGAACTGTCACAACTTGTGGGGGGCAGGAGGGGGGGGGAAGGGCAGTTTTGCACCTATTCTGCTTTCCCCTAGTTACATATGAGCTAAATCTCCAAAAAGCCAGTTTATTATTAAAAGCTTATTCAACATCAGCAACTCAGTAAGACTCTAGAACAAAATATGCAGATTACTTCTTTAAGATGTAATCAGGAATGTGGAGCCTAAGATATAAGGGCCATTTCAAGCTTGCTACCTGAAGAAGTGACTTGTTTGAACTTTCAAGAACAGAACAATTGAGTAAACTAGATTATCCTTGTAGCGCAAAAAAAAAAAAAAAAGTTTGAGCTTATAATATAATGTATAAAAATGAGTGGGTTTTTTTGGGTTTGGGGTTTTGTTTTGTTTTTTTACTATTGCATGGTACACAATCACTATTCTTGTTTTATCTTTCTGTCACCAGGGACGAATTACGAAAGTTCTAAATATGAAGCCACCAGAGGTAAGAAAGTTGTGGGAGTGTTTTGTCTTAAGTTTTACTGATTTGTTTTGAATGACAAGAATCAATATTTTGGGGGGGACACAAAAAAAAGGGTATCGGAGGGAGATGAGAAGTTCCACTGAGTTCTGAATTGAACCTATCTGACATAAGAAGAAACATCAAATTTTTGTTGCATTGCTTTATTTTAGATTTTAGCTATGATTGAAGAAGCAGCTGGTACTAGGATGTATGAATGCAAGAAAACAGCTGTCCAGAAAACCATAGAGAAG